GTGTGTCATCTGGACAGAGAATGGATGATAAGGAAACCTGGTGGTGGAATAGTGAAGTGTAGGAAGCTGTTCAAAGAAAGAGATTAGCCGAGAAGAAATATGACAGTGAGAGGACTGAAGAGAGGAGACAGGACTATAAGGAGATGGGACGTACAGCAAAGAGGGAAGTAGCTAAGGCAAAGCAGAAGGTGTATGATGAGTTGTATGGGAGACTGGACACTAAAGAGGGCGAGAAGGACTTGTACTGATTGGCAAGACAGGGATCAGGCTGGAAAGGATGTGCAGCAGGTTAGGCTTATTAAAGCTAGGAATGGTAATGTTCTAACAAGTGAGGAGAATGTGACGGTAAGATGGAAGGAGTACTTTGAGAAGCTAATGAATGAAGAGAATGAAAGGGAAAGAAGAGTAGAGGTCATAGAAATTGTGGACCAGGAAGTAGAAAAGATTAGTGAGGGTGAAGTCCAGAAAGCTCTGAAAAGAATAAAGGGGAAGGCAGTAGGACCTGATGACATACGAGTGGAGATTTGAAAATGTCTTGGAGAGATGGCAGTGAGGTTTTTGACTCAAATATTCAATGGCATATTTGAGGGTGAGAAAATGCCTGAGGAATGGATAAGAAGTGTGCTGGTGCCCATTTTTAAGAACAAGGGTGATGTACAGAGTTGTAGCAACTACAGGGGAATTAAGTTGATGAGTCACACAATAAAAATCTGGGAGAGAGTTATGGAAGTAAGACTTAGATGAGAGGTGACTATCTGTGAGCAGCAGTATGGTTTCATGCCAAGAAAGAGCACCACAGACTCCATCTTTGCTTTGAGGATGCTGATGGAGAAGAGGGTCAGAAAGAACTCCAGTTTTTGTGGATTTAGAAAAAGCATATGACAGGATGCACAGGGAGGGGGTGTGGTATTGCATGAGGAGATCTGGAGTGGCAGAGAAGTATGTTAGATTAGACCACCGTACACTGTGAACGATGGTGGATTCTCCACAGGTGGTGGATTCTCCATTGGTGATGGTGGATTCCACCATCATTGGTGGTTCCCAGTTTCGGATTCTCCACCAGCAATGGTGCGTGGTGATGGATTTTCCGCCGGCGGTGGTGTGCCCCCGTTTTTATTTTAATTTTATGTAGTGGATAAAATAAAGTAAAAACAGCGAGGCAGGCATTGGTGGGATCCACCATGGGTGGTTGAATTGGAAGAGTCATTTTTAGTGAAAAACTTCCACACTGTTGATGAAGTTCTACCTGTTTGGCAAAACTTTGCCTGCTCTTCGCCTTCCATCTTCTTGGAAGAATCCGTTTTGTAGCCAGTGGCCCGGCGCTGATCATGTGACACAATCACTGACTGTGACTAGTCGATGTGAAATTAAAAAACTTGTGAGATGTCCTAGAATCGACTAGTTGATTCAACTCCTAATAGCTAATACATTGTTTAATGACACAAACAAATAAAAAGTAGTTAAAAGACCTAAATGAAAACATATTAAATCTGTTCTTCTCTTTAAATTCAGAAAGCAAACATTTCTGTGAATCTTTGACCTTCAGAATGCGTCTCACGACTTTGTAATTGAAGGAGAAAGTAACTCTGGTGAGAAGTTGTGCAGCATTATTGACAAAATGTCACCTGAGAAATCAGAGGCACACTAACAGTTTCTGTTGCTTTCCCCCACTTTGTGGTTTGATCACGTCTGCAACGGCAGCCTTCGGCTCAGCACAACATCACTGCTGCTGTCCACAGCGACAAACATTCACCCTGCAACAAAGAAATAGACTTTATAGTTCGGTTTCAAAACAATTCATACACAAATAAATTCCACCCAGATGTTTTGTTTAGCTCTCTGGTGTTTTGTTTGTTTAGATCTGTTTTAATACTTTTTATTGTCAAAGAGAACCTGAGTCCACGATAACACTCAAAACCACTCAAAATGTGTGCAAACACAAGTAAATCATGACAAACTGAGTCAGTGTCACACTTTGTGACACACTTTCCATCACAGAGCCAAAAGGGGAATTGGGAACCATCCGTCCATCTGTGACTGTTGTGAGCATGATCACTTGAAAAATAAGTGTTCGACTCCAACAAAGAGATTTTCATGTTATGTAATAAATAGGACATAGTCTAAATAGTCTGAAGGCTAAAGTACTGGAAGAGGCAGGGAGCTACTTTAACAGGAAGTGTTTTAAATTGTTCAAATGAAAGCAACAACAAAACCTGGAATAAAAGGTGAAACTCACTTTTTTCAGTTTTTACCAATTTAATGTAATAATATTTACACTCAACGTTCAGAATACTGTAATGCAGCTTTTTTTTTTTGTTATAGTTTTATCACTTAAATTTATTTCCATTCTTTTTTTTTCACAATGTAATGTCATTTCCTGTACTGAAGGCCTTAGATGTCTGATTGGTGGAGAGTCGATTGTTTTGGGGCTGTTCATCAGTTCAGCACAGAGCAAGAGTGAAGAGCAGACGATGACCCTGATGAAGAGCAGACGATGACCCTGATG